CGATGCCAGGAGCCCCTAGAAGCGTCCTTGCTCCTAGTAGCGATGCCCTTGTACTAGGAAGCTCCCCGCAAACGCAAACCAAATGTCAAGGTGCTCTGTGATGCGATGTGTTTGTTCGGGGAAGGACCTGAAACCAAGGCCTTTGACCCAGTTGGTTGACCGGGATGGAGAAAGGACAGCGACAGAAGCCATCAAGACGCCAAACAAAACGGCACCATTCCTGGCCTCCCTAAGAGCGTTGGTGGGAAAAGGTGAGGTTCCTCGCTGTTGCCCTTTCGTCTTCGCTCCAGGCTGGCACCCCCAGCGCCAGCATTTCGGGTGTCGGCAGCTCGGGTGCCTTTGGCTTTCTATCGAGGGCCTCGGCGGCCTTGTCCGCTGCCACTCTGGTCTTTTCCTCGCGGGCGCCGCTCGGTGATGGACATGTGCGTCGACAGGAGTGTGAGGTCATACTGGAAGAGTATGAGGACAGACTTTCAGGTCAACATGGCGGGAAGGTCTATCCTTGCCTTTTTTCCAGCTTTGGTTTGATTTTCCATCAGCTTCTTTGACATTTGTTTGTGTAGAATCAGGGTGTGTCCAAACGAAATCTGGAGCAATGTCAGCAATGTTTGCTGCGGAACCATGGCCATCAAAGCTGTCTCATCATGTTAGCAATGTCAAGTTTGTCATTAAAGGACAAAGCAAATGGTGTAGGTTGGAGGCCATCGCTAGCAGGTTGGAGGCCATTGCTCTTAGTTTCTATGACCTCCAACCCAGCGATGGCCACCTTGGCTCCTTCTAGCTAGAAGGTGACACCCAAGATGCACACCTTGCCGAAGTCCTTGCGGCAAACTTGCCTTACTAGTGCCTTACTAGTAGTAACAAGTGCCTTACTAGTAGTAACAAGAAGCTATTAGTTAATTTAGTTTTGTGGTTATGAAATGGGATGCCCAGCGCGTCGGGCCTTTTCAAACCTTGAGCCAAAAGTTCGATGAAAGCACTCGTAGCGCTTGGCTTTCTACGAGGTATGGTTGTACACTTTTCGATTTGTGTACTTCCAGAATCACACTCCCCCTGGCTTGGTTCAAGCCATTGAGAGCGACTCAAAACTCCCTTCTGACTCGCTTGAGTCTTCACGAACCCTTGAGGTTCCAGAAAAACCGCGTCGCGGCTCCCAAGGGTCATTTGACCTGGGTCTCACTGGCATCTGCGTAGACACCCCCATCCAAGTTGGTGTCTCCTGATTTGGGTCCTCGGCTGGTGGTAGCACAGGATCCGGTCCTCTGTAGATTTCTCGATTTGGGGGTGCCAAGTTGCTTCGCACCACCCTCCACCCTTGAGCGATCATCTCGTCCAAGGTTGGCGGTTCCTCATCCTCACTGGCCATCGTTCTCCTCCAGTCAGGTCTTTCTGCACTACTCGACTCACTCTCCCCCAGCCGGTTCTCCACAGGCGACCCCACATCAACGGTCAAGTCCCGCATGAATGCCAGCCAATCATCCCGCACATCGTCCTCCAACGTAGTTCCATCACATCCTCCAGGTCCTTGTGCCCAGTAGGCTGGGTCGTAGTCCCATCCTCTGTCAATTTCCTCGCTCACCAATGAGAGCTCTTGAGAATCTCCCGAGGTTCCCGAGCCTTCGACTTCGCCTCGTTGTTGATGTCCCCGAAGCCGCTGCCCATAGCCCCCAAGGCCACTGCTCACTCCCTCAGTCATCCTCGTACTGAGCTCCGACATAGATTCCATGGGATCTGGTTCCGGTTCCTGACGATCCGGTCGAACCTCTCGAGGCAACCCTTCCGCCACTGGACCATGTTCCGCAATGCCCGGCATTGGCGGTGGTCCGGAGGTCAGTGAACTGCTCATCGAGGAAGACGTCCGATCGCCCTGCGCTCTGGTAGTCGAGGAACTAGATGGATCCCGGAAAAAGGTGTACCCCACCCAAGCATCCCTCGCAGGTGGCTGCGTGTCTCTCCTCCAATCATCATCTCTGATCACCCTTTCTCCATGACACCACAACACGGTGATTCTCCGATCTTGAATGTGGCTGCAATCCATAGGTGTTCGTCGATGGATTGGATGGAAAGGTCTCATCCTCTGCTTCACATGGTGTCTGACCCACCATCCCCCTGGGATTCGGTCCCACCGATCTTGCCCCCTTGAAGGCATGGAAAACCTCCTCCACGTCCAGGGTCGATCATAATCCACAGCTGGAGCCGTTCCCGTGGCCGTAGATGGTGTCCCTGCAGACTCGGCCGAAAGTCCCTCTCTCAGAGCAGCCAGTCGTGCCCTCTTAGAGTTAGTGCCATGGCTCACATCTACCGCGTAATCCCGGGAGCGCTCAGGGCTATGTTCAAAGACAGGTTCCTCTTCCGACCCATCATCTCTACTGCAGGTGGGTTCATCTTCCCTCACCTGATCTTGAAGTCCATACGGTGGATCTACATATTCACTTCTTGTTGGCCCAGTGGCTCTCTTCTTAGAATCACAGCCGGCTTTCCAGCTGGTGGCCAAACTAGCTACCATCGCGGCTACGGCTAGGCTCTGAGCAGCCTTACCCGTGGGATCTGGCGCTTCAAGAATTCGGAGACCGGCTTGGTTGTCTCCCCCCAACCGGCATTCTGTTCCTGTTCCATCTCCGGTCCCTTCCAAGACGTTGGTCAATGCCGCCAAGGAATCCCCCATAGTCATAGCCTCCGTGTAGCCCAGCAGTTCTGCTTCCGCACTGGACAAGGTGCAGAATGCTTGCTGCCTGGATTCCCACTGGACTGGCTCTCCCCCATAGGTCCCAATCACGCCCTGACATCCTCTTCCAGAAGGAGGTCCAAACGATGCGTTTGAAAGGACGTCCACCCTCATCGTGGTTTGGTAATGTTCCCCAGGGATTGAAGACCGTGCTCGTCCGTAGTGAAGCGACCATGACAAGGTGGTTTTCAAATATCCCAACATCTGACATCCATACTCCAAGACCCTCTTTGGTGTTCGGGTCACTTGTCTTCCCATCCAAGCCACTCCATACGCCAGGTCCGGTCGGCTTCTCACTGACACCCACAGTAGCTCGCCCACCACACCCTGCGCCCTTCTCACATCCTCCAGTGTGACCTCCGCTTCCGGCTCCTCATTTGGTACACCTGGGAAAGGTACTGCAGTCGGGATCACCGAGGGATGTCTGCTGAGGAGCTCCTGGATGTAGGCCTGCTGCCCCACGTAGAGCCCGCTGTCCTCCTCGGCCGAGCTCCATCTCAGCTCAAATCCACTAAACTTCGTCCATCTCTCACTGTTGACCCACTCCGCAGGGCTACATTTCCACTCCATCTCAATCCTGCCCAAGGCTCCCTTCGCAATGTCCTTGGCACCAACCACAATGAAGTCATCCACATAGACCCCAATGAAGCCCTTCGGAGGTGGTTCCTCCTGATCCAGCGGTCTTCTCTCTACGATCTTCCAAAGGTTGGGTTCCGGCGTCTCCCGAAGCTCCAATGTCATTCCTTCATATTGCCATTGAAAGGACCTCATCAGCCGATTTCGATATGTTGCCCAGTCAGCTGGCGAGGATCGAAGGCCATAGAGGGCGTGTTGCACCCGCCATAGTTCTCGAGGACCCACAATACCAGCCTCCACCAAAATGCGCGGCTTCACCACCACCAATCGTCGACTGGAGTCCTCCCTGGGTGCCAGAAGGAAAGCCGTCTTAACATCGCAAGTTGCAATTTCCCAGCTCATGGCGGCCGCTTTCCGAAGAAGGCATCGGATTGTTGTTCCGTCAGCTCCGCCAGCGTAGAGATTCTGGGATTCCTCCTTGCCTGAAGTCGCTGCACCACTGCCATCCAGAGCTTCAAGCCGGTTCCCACAGACCACAATGCGAGCTCGTTTCTTCCCATGTGGTGCCTTGATAGTCGGAACCAACATCCCAGGCGCCACCTCCATCGCCTCATACAATGGATCCTGCTCCAACTCTTCCATGGTCGTCGGACTCAATGCCCTAGTTCCTTCAATCAAGGACTGGTACTCATCAGTCATCGGAGGCACCCACGCCGCAAGCTCCTGTCGGACTCGTTGAAGAGGAACTGCATAGGTTTGCAACACCGCCGGTGGTGGAGCTCCAGGCTCCTGTAACTCCAAACCTGCTTCATTCTTCACCGCAGCCAACCTCACCGACTCCAGCTTACGATGTTGGTCCTCCAAGTGATCCTCTTGCACCAACAGTCCCGCTTCCAAAGCGGCCATCCATCGCCCTCTCTGTCTGCCCTGCTCTTCTCCAATAGCCTGATGGCGCAACTCTTCACTCCACAACCTCTTCATCAGCAAGTGCGACCTCACCTCCATGGCGTGCCACTCCTCAGCTTGATCCCAAGAACAACTAGAGCCCTTCCATAGACCTCCAGTCCGACGTTCTCGGTAGTCGTCCACATACTCCAAGTTGCCACCACAGAAACCGCAGGAAATCTGTGTCGCCTCCACCAAGTCCAGCGTACCTTCCACCGCCGCTTGCATGGAGCTCATCACCACCCCGCAGCCGCGAATGTCTCTTGGATTCTCAGTCGGGACTTGGTGGGGATGCCGGGGTTGAAGAAGTCCACAATCTCCACAACACACCATCGCCAGCTCCCCAAGGCATTCCCAAGCTCTCCACCCCGACTGATCTCCTTCCGACTCCGGCTCCGTCTCATCGACCACCTCCTCGACATCCTCCTCATCGTCCACAAACTCCAGACCACCACCACTGAAGTCCCGCTCCAACTCCTCCAGGTAGTTCCTCAGCGGCCCGGAGACCTCCAACTCCACGCCAACCACCTCTGCTTCACCATCTCCCCCGACCATTGGCTCCATGGATTGATCGGTGGAGTCCATCATGCCATTCACATCCTCTCCAGGTTGCCATACCGACAGCGAGTTCAATGGCGTAGGTTCCGGATTTTCCAAAATTGGTTCAGTGGTCTCCCCCCCAGCTCGTAGTACCCGAAGAGCTGGTCGGACTCCTGCATCAAAATGTCGAGCTACCACATCTTTTAGTGGGTGCGGGTCGAAGGACTGTTTTCCTGTCAGTCGATGTCTGATGCCCTTATCCTTGAGGCCCACCTCCTGCAGCTCCAGTACTGCTTCCAAGGTTTTCGAAGGGGTCACCACCGTCCGAAGATGTTGAATTCTGTTCTGTTTGTCCTTGGCTACCCAACCAGATGACATCAACGGACTTGGTCCCAACACCTGCACTCTCTTGAACGGGTTGGTCAGCTCTCCAGTTTTGTGATGCCATCTCTTGGCTTTAGCCATGACCATCGATCCGAAGTTGACCATTGGCTTCGATCCCACTCCCAGCCTCTGAAGTTGTATGCGAAGTCGTTGAGTAGCAGCATGCCTCAGTGCGCATGGCCAGAGCGACGCCTCCACCTTGCTGGTGTGAAGAAGGAGCCTTTGAGCTGCAGAAGCTCTGCCTCCACCCTGCCATTTGACTGGCTATCATCACCTGATGTCATCGTGTGAACCATGCACCCACCTGGCCACAGCCTTCGTAAGGAAGGACTTCTCCCTGTCCGAATGCAGCCGACATGGCCGCACCCCCAACATCCTGTAGTGGGCATGCACCTTGGAGAGCGCCTGCACGATGTCCTCCACCCCTCGAGACTGCATCGGCTCTGCAATCGTGAGATTCTGTAGCGGAACCTCTTCCTGGGCTCGCTCCAGTGCCGCTTTCATGTTGAGCTCCATCACCTGCTCTTCGGTCGCCATCTCTACGTCTTCCTTCTCCTCCTCAATCTCCACCACATCCTTGACCTCCGCCTCATGGTCCAGTGGTTCCTCTGGTGCCCCGGCCAGATCCTTCACGATCGGCGCCGGGATTGTAGCCACCATCACATACTTGCACCACTGGTTCAACCCAAGGTCTCTCCCCTGTTCGAATGGACCCATGATGTCCACTGCCATCACAAAGGCCGACGAGGCGTTTCTGGATCGCCGATGTGGGCTGGAGAAACCCATCGCTTCTACACAATCCCGACAATCTCTCCTGTAGGGAACGTGCTCCTGCTTGATGTGTCTCTTCCACTCCTCAACATCCATCTTGGCCAGACTCAAGTGAGCTCTCCCCCCAAACCGAAGGTTCAAGGCCAGTCCAATCGCCTTCACCAGCCCACTGGACCACCGCGCCCACGACCGAGATGCTTTCATTCTCTCCTGTAGTCCTCCTTCCACCGGGTCCGCCGATCCTCCTCCCCTGAGTCCATCCAGATCTTCCAGGTGACGAAGGTTGGTCAGCAAACTAGTGGGTTTTCGCCGGGAGTGCCCCGTTCTTCCTTGGTCGAAGCTCACCAATCTCATTCCATACTCATCAACCATTCTCCTCAACAACGGCCATTCAAAGAAAGACGGATGATCATGCCCGGCATCAACTCCATCTCCCACATAGCTGGCAGGGTCCTGCGGAGATTCCAGAAGAAATGCCACCGGATCAGGTCCTTCCCGATGTTCCTCCGCGAGGTGCCATAGCCCCACCTGTTTCACCACCAGTGCGGAATCCCCTCGCACCTGTTCACGCTCTCGGGCGGTTAGCCCCTCCAAGCCCCAGCGATCATCGCCACGGCCTCTCACCCTCCTTGGTCCTGGTGGCCCCCTGCACCTCAATCTGCTTGTGGTACGGCAAGGCGGACCCCCAACCACTCCTTTCACCTTCCCGGATCTGGCCAGCGAGCACACGTAGCTCCACACATTCGCATTGCGCACATTGAAGCCATCTCCCAACTCCAGATCCAGGAAAATCCAATCCATGTCATCTGGCAGCGTGCCCTTCCACCTCCCTGTATCCGCTCCAGAGAAAGGTGAATCACCAGGCCACGACTTCGCTGATGTCGACGCCTCTGACGTCTATTCCAAGGCAGCAGCTCTGGGCTCGGTTCACTCGAAAACCCAACCATCATCTCCAGCAGGTCCTCCGGCACGTCCGGCATGATGCTACGCCACCAATTCCAGTCCACTTGGGACAACCTCTTCCGATTCTTCTGATTCTCTTCAAACTCTGCCAACATCACCATGGCATCCTTTCGATTCATGACAGGGCACCCTGACCTCAACCAACACTTCACAGCTCCAAGCTGCTGGTGCATGATCGTGCAACCCTGTCCATTCCAGTGAATGGCATACCCATTCTCCACCAGCAAACTCAGCGGCAAGATCGGCTCCACTGGCTCCAAGGACAAGAGGGTGTCAAAGTCTGGGTGCTTGTACAAGGTTGTACATCCATGGGCAAGCTCTACCGTCGCAGGCTGCAACTTCCCTCGCTCCTCCTGTCTCGCCATTCTCAATGGGTGAGTAGCTCCACCATCCAATAGTTCCAGCTCCAAACCCTCATTGGCATCTGCCACATGAATCTGCTTCAATCTGAAGGTCTTCATGCTGCGGAGGGACTTCAAGAGGGATGTGGCCTCGGTAATCAGCTCCGAGGTCGGATCACCCTTCTTTTCCAATTCAACTCCACCATCCCGTCCCTTTTCTCCTCCACCTGACACCGGCCGGGTAGTCGTGGACACAGAGCTCATCGATGAAGTAGTTCCTGCCTCCTTCTCCGACGTCCCTTTTCCACTTCCCTTCAACTTGGCCGTCTTCTTTCCATCCTTCTCCGGTCGTTCCCGACCATATGGACAATCCTTCGCAAAGTGGTTCTCCCCGGAGCAGTGAAAACATCTGCCCGTCTTGTTGATGCCCTCCCAGGAATGGGCGAAAGTACAGGTCTCTCCCCGCTTGCACCCACCAGTCGTACGCCAGTAACGGCATGGATGTTTCGTCTTTGGTGGTCCATCTCCGCCACCACCTCCACCTCCCAAGGCCTTAATCGTTGGCTGAGCTCCTGCTACCGGTTGAAGGACTGCTCCTGCATGCACTGGTATTCTTGGCCGACGAGGGATGCGGCATAGTCAACGCCAAATCCTCCGCCTCAGCCTGGAGAAACTCTGCGAACTCCTTGGTAGTGGTCAGCGTGGGCCTCCGATCGACCTCAAGTTCCTGCCGAGCTGCTGCAATCCTGAATCCCACTTGGCTTCCTCCATGCTTCGTGAGGTTCTCTGCAACCTTGGACAAGGCCTGAATCAAGACCATCGAGTCCGGGATCGCCACATGCAACTCTTCAGCTCGACAAATCCACCTGCGCCAGGTTCGGATAGCGCCCAGTGTATCCTGAATAGAACTGCCGCACTTCACCTCCGTCAGGCTGCGCAACAGATTTCCCCTTTCTGCATTTCCACCAGGTTGGTAGATGGTGAAGAGCTTGTACAAAATCGCCTGAGTCGCCACTCTTCGACTTGCAACAATGTCCTTTCTCACCGGTTCCGGGAGCGCGGCCAGCAAAGTCGAGCTCGCCCGCTGATCCAATCGTTGGAACCGTGGGGACACCTGCTCCTCCACCTTGATTCTCAACCGCCCCAATGGCGTCGCCAAGAGCCACTCATTGTACTTCACCTCCACTTCTCGCTGCACCCAATCCCAAAACTCCCGAGACGACGTACTGAGATCTCCCATCAACGGGGAAATCACCGTCAGCCAGTCCCCAAAGAGCAGGGCCGCATTCTCAGTCGAAGGTGATGGCAACTGTGGCAATTCCAAGTTCCGCATTGCCTCAGGCAGTGCAGCTGTCACTGATTCCAGCGGCTTCATCACGCTCGCCGCCCCAATCACTCCACTTCCATGACCTCGAGGATCGTGTACTGGAGCAAGACCAGGAGCCAGGAGTGTCAGGTGGTCCACCAAGCTTGGTAGGTTCCCCCACTGGCTCCTGCTGCCCCTCTGCCTTCGCACTCGGCACAGAAGTAAATGATGCCGAATCTCCAGCGTCCGTCATCTTCTTCACCTCCCGAGCAAAGGTTTCCTCAGCCTCCCTCAAGATGCGTTCTCGAAGACGTTCAACATGTCCCAGACCTGGACTTTGTGCAGGATGTTGGCCTCTGGCCCCTTCAGATTCCCGAACATGTGACTCACCCTTGGCCGCTTGCTGCACTGAAGTGCTCCAGAAGGGGTGGTAGGATAAGGCTCCAGCACCCGAGGATGTAGGTCATCACGTCCCGCTCCAGTCATGTAAGGTGAAGCTCCCATGCGCTCCGTTTCCACCCCGCTCTGCCGCAAAGGATTGCCCGCCGCCAGCCCGTGCTCTGGGAGAACTCCACATCCGGTACCGGCATGACCTCCCTGATCACCGGGCCGAAGAAGCGGATCAAGTAGGGTCGGCTGGGAACTGGGCCTTTGAAGAGCATGCTGCAACACTTCAAATGACGAACTGCCTCCTGCAAATGCACAAGCCCCAACACCTGGCCTCTTGGGTCATTCAGCAACTGTCGAATTTCCGGTGTTCCCTGGTGGCCACTCGATGCCGTCACAGCTGAATGACCTCCATGGCCACCACCCGCGCCAGCAGCCACGCCCAGCCGCTTCACTTCAGCCGCTGCCACCGGCACTGATTGCGCCCTTGCCGCCTTCGCCTTCATCTCCTCCTCGATCAAGGCATCCAGCCGGCGGTCCGCAGCTCCGACTTCCAGCGGCGCCGCAGCATCCTTCCTTTCCCGCGACCGCTGCTGCCGTCGTCTCCGCTGCTCCATGGGGACCAGCGACCCCTCTGTTCACCCAACAGCAGGGGGTGGACTTGGAAAATCCAAAAAAAAAGATCACTTTGGGCTCATAACCTGTGGTTATGACATGGGATGCCCAGCGCGTCGGGCCTTTTCAAACCTTGAGCCAAAAGTTCGATGAAAACACTCGTAGCGCTTGGCTTTCTACGAGGTATGGTTGTACACTTTTCGATTTGTGTACTTCCAGAATCACAAGTTTAATTCTAATAGCTTCTTGTTACTACTAGTAAGGCACTTGTTACTAGAAGCGATGCACTTGTTCCTAGTAGCTTCTTGTTACTACTAGTAAGGCCAGGAGCCCCTAGTAGCGTCCTTGTTACTAGTAGCGTCTTGCCCGAGTTCGTAGCTTCTTGTTACTAGAAGCGTCCTTGTTACTACTAGTAAGGCACTTGTTCCTAGTAGCGATGCACTTGTTTCTACTAGCTTCTGAGCACTCACTGGTGAATAGCCGTGAATAGTAGCCTTTCTACTCAAGACGGTGTTTGAGGACTACTATCCTCAGGTCCCAAAGCTGTAGATCGTGGCTTTTACGTCCTTTTTTACGTTCTTTAGAAAATCCTTCTCCATCCACTTTGGGCTTCTTGCTCCGAGGAAGGCCTCGCCTGAAGTGCCTGAGAAGGCGAAATGAACGAAGAATTTTCAGTTTGACGACTCATTGAGAAGTATTGTTCCTAGTAGCGTTCTTGTTCCTAGTAGTGAGGCCAGGAGCCCCTAGTAGCTTCTTGATTCAAAATGACTCCGAAGGACGAGGATGAAATTGAACCAAACACTTTCTACCTAGCAGGAAAGCCTCTACTACCCCTCGTTGAAAGTGGAGAAACATGTTCGAACACCCAGGAGGTCCAGGTCCGGGCCGCTGAGAAGGCCGAGGTGCTTACGAAGGTGCACATCGCATTTTGTCACATCGGATGGGTTGCATTGAGAAGTATTGTTCCTAGTAGCGTCCTTGTTACTACTAGTAAGGCACTTGTTACTAGAAGCGATGCACTTGTTCCTAGTAGCTTATTGTTCCTAGTAGCTTCTTGTTCCTAGTATCGTCCTTGTTACTAGTAGCGATGCCTGTTTCTCCTAGTAGCGTTGTTGGGGTCATGTGGAACTTTTGAGAGTCAAATGCAAAAATGCAATTGGCAATAGACTCAATAGACTTAATGCCAAGCTTCGATTGCAAGATGAAACGTTTTCATCTGCTGGGTTCTAGTTTCAATACATCCTACACAAAATCAATAAATATATATATATACACATAGATAAATATATATATATGTATTTGTATATTTACGTGCTTTGACATAATGCTCAGATGGGCAAGTAACTACTGCAGGGTTTACACATATGACCTGGAAGGGCAGAACAGCAAAATGACCTGGGCAGAGCACTCGGTGGCATGTAGACCGCACTCGGAGGCTGCGGCAGAGCTTGCATCACCACCGAAGCCAGCAGAGCCATCGACGAATGAGCTGCCATTGGCACAGGTGTGGTATAATTTTCGACGCATCCGAACAAGTTGAGGTTTGCAGTTCTTGATTTGTGCCTTTTTACACAAAGGGCTTCTGAAAAGCCGTGAAGACGAAGGCTTTGCAGATTTTGTTGATGTTTTTCCTGCACCTGTATATCACTACAGCTGTGTACATGATCGACATGACGAAAAAACCATCACCGAGGCGGATTTCCCCGAAAGCGCCGGCGTTGTATCTACAAGACCAGCCAAACGACTGGCAGGAAATTCACGAACCAACACCCGTTTGTTTTTTTGGCCTTTCCGGCTGAGCGGATGCGAGCGAACGCCACTCACCTCTCTGAAAGGCTGGGCCGGTTGGGCCAGTGCCGATTGAGCGGCCTGACTCAGCGGCAACGCCTCCCGCTGAGGAAGGCACGGCAGCCAGCGAGGCTGCGGAGGCGGAGGCGGCCGCTGTGCAGCTTTTGATGGCATGACTTGCCAATCTGACCATCTGCAAATTCAGTTCGCTTTTTGAAGTTCTCTGTTTAGAACGCTACTAGAGCAAAGGGCATCGCTACTAGGGGCTCCTGGCCTTACTAGGAGCAAGAAGCTAGTAACAAGAATTCAGAATTAGAACTACAACTTTAATCTACTTAAATTTAATAGAATTAGAATAGTTCGCGTGACGCTCCGGGTCACCAGGAATCCCAGTGCTTTGGCTGTGGCAAGAGCGTGCCCAGCTCGGAGCACTTTGGCGCAGAAGGATGGAAGGATTGACACCAAGAAAGGATTTTTCTTGTTTCGCTACTAGTAGCTTCTTGGTGTGTGATTTCTGACCGCTTTCTGCGTGGTCCTTTTTGTACAGCTTACGTTATGTTGTGAACTGTGTGTCATGCATAAGCCAGACGCGTTTCACTGCGACTTTCTGGCGCGAGAGGTAGTTACTAGTAGTACGGTGCCTCAACAGAAAGGGTTAGTCTTTTCTTTTCCAATTTCACACACTATTCGTTTCTAGGTCCCGGGTGCAGTTGAGTGCGACAGGTGAGTGCTTTTGGTTCCTACCGAATAGCCCGGTGCATCTCAAGTCTCCACTGACCCATGAGATATGACCATCTCACGGGACCATCCTTTATCCTAGTAGCATCGCTACTAGTAACAAGTGCATCGCTACTAGGGGCTCCTGGCCTTACTACTAGGAGCAAGAAGCTACTAGGGGCTCCTGTATCCTTTTTGAAAGAAAACAACGAACGGCAACAACTTTCTGTTTCGGTGGAGTTCCACGGGACCTTTTTTCGGGCTGATCGGCTGATCTCCGAGCGCCTCAGGCTTCGGCAACACTTGGAAAGCAGTGAGAAGTGCCTCAGCACTGCTTGGCAGGTGCCTATGTTTCTACCATGCTAATGTCTCCATATGCAACTCATGGTATGTTTTCTACAGTACTTAGGTTGGAGGCCATCGCTAGTAGGATGGAGGCCATTGATTCATGGCATGTCTTCTACAGATCGATTCCTGGAGTTGGAGAACTTTATGACCTATTTAGTTACGACACGCTCCTGAAACCTCGTCACGCCGTCATGAGTCATGCCTCAGGCAGCGGTGAATGCAGTGGGCTGCATGCCCGGGGTAGCTGCCTCAACCTGTCGGTGGGAGACTTGCAGCAAACTCATCGTATATCGACAAGACCACAAAAAAGGACCGAGAATCAAAGACATCTCAAAAAGCACCAAGCCCGCCAAAGCTACATGCAAAACACACGCCTGCCTGCTCCAAAAGGCATTGACCCTTCTGACCGAGGCATCGACAACCCTTTGGTGTCCCGCATGTCCTGACGCCTTTTTGGGAAAGTGGACAGGCTCCGTCTCCAAGGTTGGGAGTTGCAATAGCCCAACATGAGCATGTTTGTCTCAAAATGGAGGAATAAGAAAACGTGCCATCAAAGAATTTTCCACTGGGATAAATATGACATTTTTAGTATAGATAAGTGCGAAGAAGCGCCGGGAATACCGAGTCGAGATATTGAGGCATCAACAAACACTTTATTTCTTTGTAGGCATACATGCCACAGTGGACCATGGTTGAGTACCAGGCCTCAGTCTACGTTCTCTTACAAAATTTCACTTTTGTTGGGGTCTTCACTAGTCAGCATGCGCGTGTACACGGCACAAAAGACAAATTTGTCATGAAAAGGGAACATATCTCTCTCACTGTCTCTCTGTTGCGACTTCCCACCATTTTGTGTGGACCCTTTCCCTGTAGAATGCCATTTGTGCCCTATCGGGGCCCTACTTGACAGGTTTCTTTGGCGCTGACAGGAGAGACAAGCCAATTGATCTTGAACCCTTCACAATCCAGTCAACATCAGTACGCTCAATTACATCTCACTCAGCTTTTGACAGCATAGGGCACTACTACTAGTATCAAGAAGCTACTAGTAGCAGGGGCATCGCCAGTAGTAACAAGTGCATCGCTTCTAGAAGCAAGAAGCTTCTAGGTTGGAGGCCATCGCTAGTAGGTTGAAGGCCATTAAAAAGGATCACTATATTTTTTTACACTCGGCTTTTGGCATACGTAGAAGCTACTAGTAACAAGGGTATCGCTGCTAGTAACAAAGGCATTACTACTAGTAGCTAGAAGCTACTAGATGCTCCTGGCATCATCGTTACTAGGAGCAAGGACGCTACTATGGGCTCCTGGCCTTACTACTAGGAGCAAGACGGTACTCCCTATCAATACACTTCTCCCTATCAAAACCCAGATGGGGAAGATCCCTTGGCTCGCAGGCCCCCGCCTTGCTACGGCATGCTGCATCGGCCAGCAAGGCGACAGCCCACATGAGGAAAACACAAAGGTTCGGTTGGGCCGCTAGTAGAGGTGAGGTAGGTTAGCTAGGGAGTCGGTAGCTAGTAGTAGAAGCTACGGAGGCGCTAGTAGCTACAAGCAAGCTACTAGGATGCAGGATAGCTCACGCTTCTTCATGGAAGCTCCCCCCGCTGCCCTAGAGGCGGAGCTTCCTTGGGGAAGCGCTTGCACTATTCATTTGGTTCCTTGATTTTTAGGGAAGCTTAACTATGAAACCTCATAGCGATGGCCTCCAACCTACTAGCAATGGCCTCCAACCTAAAGGTAGGAAACACATGTAGAATGATTCTAGGCGCTTGTCAAGGTTATTGTGTGTGTGAGTTCCGCCCAGCTATTTTCTCAAAGAATGTGAAGCGACCGTGAATTCCTAGTGCTTTGTTGAAGGAATGTAGCTGCGAGCCTTCAAGTGAACCTCGAACTGTGCCAGAACACACCATTTGTTTCCCCAAAATCACTGAGTGTCTTCTCAAAGTGCCCAGCGCTGTGTTTGCTCAAAGCGCCAGGCAGGATTGAAAGAGAGTGCTGGGGCCGCCAAGTGGACGCTTTGTGGGCCGGATGGTTCACTTTGTGGGATGTGTGGCAAGCGAAGAAAGAAAGATACTCTGGTTGCAGAAAGAAAGACGTGTGGTATGAGCGAAGGCCATTCTTGCTTTGCAACGAGGTCGATGACAACAGACCAAGTCTTTCAGAAAGGTCGAAAGAAAGAACAGGTCTAAAGGTTTGAAGAAAACAAGGGAAAGGAGAACCAGTAGCAAGGACCCTACTACGGGCTCCTGGC